AGTTGAGCAAAATATCTTTAAAAGAAAAAAACCAATAAAGCATGAAAATATTTAAGTTAACAAATTTACTCATTTTCTTTTGAGCTTGAAATCTCAGCAGTGTTTAGAAGCAGAGTGAGGATTATAAATGATAATGCATCCCATTTTGGTTTTTTTTGTTTATTTTTTAAAAATATTTTATTTATTTTGAGAGAGAGAGAGCACAAGCAGGGGGAGCTTCAGGAGGAAAGGGAGAGCAGGCTTCCTGCTGATCCGGGAGCCTGATGAGGGGCTCTATCCCAGGTCCCCAGGATCATGACCTGAGCTGAAAGCAGACACTTAACCGACTGAGCCACCCAGGCACCCCTCATCCCATTTTATTTGGCATTATTTACCCAGAAATCTTTTGATGGTTGCTAGTGAAATAAAAAAATAAAATTATTTTAATTAACAGATGTGAAAATTCAGGTAAAGAATAATAGCATTTGTTAAGGACCTATAAGATAATTTATTCCATATCTCTAGCTGCATATACATTTCAGCCTCAGTGTGTCTATTGTTTCAGTTTCATCAGAGAAATAGAACCAGTAGGATATTCATATTAAGAGATTAGTTGCTAGGAATTAGCTTCTGTGACTGTGGGGGCTAGGCAGGCTATTAAGAAGGACAAGCTGTACTCTTGGACAAGAGCTGAAGCTGCAGTCTATGAGCAGAATTTCTTCTTCATAGAAGCTTCAGTTCTGCTCTTAAGACCTTTACAAATGATTGTATCAGAATCATCCACATTATCTAGGATAATCTTCCTTACTTGAAGTGATTATAGATCTTGATCATTTATAACAATACACTTTTATAATACCACCTACATTAGTGTTTGAGTTTAAAAACTATAGCTTAGTTGTGTTGACTCATAAAACTAACCAACGCAGTGACCTAGTAACAATACTGGTTTTTACGCACAGAATTTGTATTTTCAGTTTTACTATCTAAATATTTATTTAGATATTATATTTAAAAAGTGATGAGCTAGTCTCATTTTTATTGTGAGTAACAAAAGAACGATGCAGTAACTGTATTCTAATAATCTAACACACAATTTACCTTTCTTTCTCTTAAGTTAAAAAAAATTTATTTAAATCTTTCTTCTAGTCCCTCTCCTGATTCAGCTCCTTTATTATCTTTCTTGCTTAATATTGTACTCTCTTCAGTTTCTTAGCATTGACTTAAAACGTACAGTTCAGGCTGTATTTACACTACAGTGATACTTGGCATTCATCAAATATTTGTTAGAAGAAAGATTATTTCACAGTTCTTGTATGTTCTACTCTTTAAAGTTCATCTTAGTGTCACATTTGTTTTTTATAAATAATGCCACTACATTGTTGACTTATATTTGGCACATTATGATTCCCAGATACTTTTGTCATATTTTGTTCTGTGAAACTATATTGTTTTTATAACAAACAGAAGTTATTTTCAAACAGTGGTCCAGAGTTTCAGGATGAAGACTCTCTAATGATTTCTTGAAAAAAATGCTTCATATTGGAAACATTGTTTTGGTGTACATTCCATTACCTTTGGGAGAAACTTTGATATTTTGCCAAGGATTATGTCTCTGCTGTATTAAAATAATGCTTCAGAGTTCCATAGAATCCTGAAGCTTTGGCAAACTCTGCTTTATGATATTTTGAAGGAGTTTCCAGAAGAAGCCTGACAATTTTTTTTCTAAATTATTTTAAGCCTGACAAATTAGGGTAGTGCCAAATATTTCAGAAATCTTTCATGGATGTGGAAACTTATGAATATCCAACTTAAAATTATAAATTAATGGAACATGCACATTTAAATGAATTCTGATGTTTTTGTTTTATATTAAAATCAGCACTATTGAGGTATTATTATTCCTAGTTTACAATGTAGGCTTATAATTTTCTATGTAGGACAGATCTCTATTTAGATAATGACTATTATCATATAAGACTCTTACTCATTTCTGATGGTTATATCATGGCTTTGCTCAAGTTCATTTATTTAACAAGTATTTTTATATAAGATACTTATATGTTTGAGGTGCCAGTTCTAGACACTGATGATACATTTGGAACAAGACCTGCATGTTCCTGCCATCATGAAACATGTAGTGGAGAAAAAAGACATTAAATAAAAATGTATACAAATCCGTAGAGTTGAAGTAAGTTCTACGGAAGAAAAGTACAGTGTAGAATAGATTATCTTACAGGAGGAGCAAATTGATTTGGGGATATCAGTAAAGTGTTCCTTATGGAAGTCATATTTAACCAAGGAATGAATAATAATAATAATAGCACATACTTAGATTGTGATTGTTATGTGCCAGGCACTATTCTTGATCCTTATTATGTGTTAACTTATTTCAACCTAACAACAACTCTATGAGGTAGGTGCTACTGTTTTCCTCATTTTATAGAAGAGGAAACTGTGGTGTAGAAAGATTAGCAAAGTTCTCCAAGGTCACATAGCGAATGAGTTGTAAACCTGGGATTTGAGCTTAGACAGAAGAGTCTGTGCTCTTAACCACAGTGTTTCATGATAAGAGTTAGCTGGGAGAAGGGAATGGGGAAGATCATTTCAGGCAATATGAACCCATGTGCTAATACCTTAAGCAAGATGGGGGAGGGAAGCCCAGCACGACTGGAAGTTGGTAAGCCAAAGTAACAAAAGATGAAACTGGAAAGGAAGTTAGTGTATTCGGATTTATTATTATTTTATTACTTCAACTTTAGTATGAATATATGATGGAAGGTAATAAGAATTAATGTGAGATCAGTTAAGGCACATTGTACTGTCATATTAAGAGGACGCTGACTTGGACCCACTTTGTGGTGGGTGGAGCAAACTACAGATTCTGGAAACATTTGGGAGATAGAAATAGCAGGACTTTTTGTTTGGATTTGAGAAAGGGAGATTACTCCTAAGTTTCTAGCTGATGCAGCTGACAAGATGGTGGTACCATTTACTGAAATAGCACTCAAGAACAGGTTTCAGGAGCAAAGTATAAGTTCAGTTTGAGTTCTGTCAAGTTTGAGGTGACTTTTATATTAGGGTGAGAAATTATCTATAAAAGCCTGGAATACAGAAGAGAGTTCTGGACTTGAAATAAAATTTGCAGATTTTCAGCCTTGGGAGTAAATGAGGAGAAAACACAGTATGAAGACCCCGAATCAAAGATAGAGGAACTAAAAGCATTTCAGTTAGGGTAGAGGAGATGCCACTGTACAGAGGAAACGGAGGAGAGGCAGCCAGATAGGTGTTAGGAAAACTGACATAATGTTGTAAGATGAAAGCAAAGGAATGCAGCAGCTTCCCATTTGGTTCCCATTTGTTTTTCTGATTGTATTTGCTTTTTCCTCCTAGAACTTCACAGTTGTACACAGTTGCTTCAAGTTCAACTTTGTGTGTTTTTTTCATTATTGAAGAACTGATTTTCTTATTCTCTTTTTCCTTTCTTCCTACTCATTAAAAGTTCTTTCAAATTTAATTTTAAGTTCCTGTTTAGATCACTTGGAGTCTTTCATCTGAAAGTGATCGCTTTCATTTAGAGCATTTTTAGTTTTTCTGTTTCAGATCATTCTGTATAATGCTACCACCTCAGATAGTTTCAGCTTCCAAAATTTGACCCATGCAGTATACTGCCCTCCTACTTCACATGATTGCCTGTGTACCGTGGTCCTTCATTCATCTCTACTCCCACATGCAAGACCATACCTTGAGCCAGTTGTTACTGAGTGTTGTTCCTTTTGCTGGATCTCCTACTCTGGAATTCTCCTTTCCCATCTCCTGTTCTCTCATTTTTTCTGCCTTTCCTACTTTTCATTTTCATCAAACTTCTTTGCAATGATCACTATTCCCAATCTCTTTGCACTCTTACTTCTTTGTTTTATCCTAGTCTGCCATCTATATTTTGTGTTCATCTTCTTCCTTATCTAACTTAAAACTCATTTTGCATAGATATTCACAGAACTCCACAATTTCTTTTAAACCTCTGATCTCTCCTGAAATAACCGTATCAGATTCCCAACCACTTATAAGCCCAGTTGTACTTTTCTCTCACTCCTCTTACGTGCATTCATTAAAAAAACAAAAACAAAAACAAAACAAAACAAAATTGGGAGGGGTGCCTGGGTAGTTCAGTCTGTTCAGTATCTGCCTTCTGCTCCAGGCATGATCTCAGGGTCCTGGGATGGAGCCCCACATCAGGCTCTCTGCTCAGAGGGGAGCCTGCTTCTCCCCCTCCTTCTGCCTGCCGCTCCCCCTGCTGTACTCTCTCTCTCTGTTTCAAATAAGTAAATAAAATCTTTAAAAAAATTTGTCAGACAATGTGTTAAGTCATTAGGGATAACCGATGAGGAAAAAAGTATATGGTCTGACCCTCAGAACTGTGCTATCTTATTCTTAGTTAATCTGTTGGAAAATAAAAATTACATCATAATATTGATGGTGCCCACCAAAATTTTATATTATTATTTAATCTCAGCAGGTCCCATGATGTTACAAATAATCCCAAATCAATTTTCTGTTCTTCATAGTCATGATTAAGAACATTTCTACTTTTCTCAAATTTCTAAACTCATTTGCAAAACCTTTGTTTGAACTAGACTGCCAAGACAATTTGTCCCTAGCTCCCAATTTCCCCTTCACTTCAAAATTTCTTTATATCTTCATCCAAGCTTTTCCTTTTCCTAATATGTGTCAGAAGAAGGGTCGCTTCTTTCTTCCGAAGGTAAAACTTTCCATCTGTTTTTCCTGATGCACATGGGAGAAACTCTAGACAAAAACACAAGATGACATGAAATTGTTATTTAATGTGTTGTTTTATTATACATTTATTCTGTTGTATAGATATGGTAAGTATGTAGTTAATATAGAGTTTGAAAAACTCCTACAGTACTATTAGTACTGTAATATCTTTAATGGACTATGTTATTTTGTTATTAAACATTTTGTTAATCAAATGTAAAGTGGATTTGCTTTGTTTTACTCAGAAAGACTGGTGGTGGTAGCTGAACACTGTGAACGGAGTCTAGAAGACTTGCTTCGAGAGAGGAAACCCATGAGGTACTGTGTAATATCAGGACAATTAAATGAAAAGCAGAAATTGGCAACAAAAAAGCATAACAAGAAACTGCAGAGTTTTTGTTTCTTCTGTTACTTATTTAATGATAAAATCCAGGTGCAAATTTTTATTTTAGGAAATTTAATTCACAGGCCCCGTAGAAATTCAACATTGACATCGTCCAGCATTCAGTTTTTGTGAGGTAGGCATTCTCCAAAGTACTTGACAAAAAAAAATTCCTAAAGAGGATATATATGAAAATTTGTAATGTTTTCAGTACTAAGCATTTCTCTAGTTGAGATTAAGAGTATTTTCCTGGGAGTGGTACATAGTAACTACTAATAGGATGCTGGCATTCCTAGGGACACAGTGAACTGTTTTAAGGAAAGGCCATGTTGAAGAGTAGAGAGAAATAATATTCATAGCTTGGATAGAATCTAATGATACAGTTTAAATTCAGTAATTTCAATGACTCAGTAATTTTACTTTCTGTCTCAGGCATTCTTGGCAAGAAGAGTACGTGGTATATATATTATTACAGATATACTACTAAATGAATTTCTTTATACATTTTCTGAAATTATCTTAAAATCATGAAAAATATCCCTTTAATGAATAAAGAAAGTTGTACTAAGCCAATGAAAATGGCTTGCCATGAATCTTTTTAGGATTATAATTATCCATCCTCTTTTAAGGAAATATTCTCATTCTTGGTCATTGCTTTTTAATCACTGCTATATCCTAGATGAAAACAAATTTTTTTCAAGGGAGAAAAAAATGTGTATATTGCTAAATGGTAGTTATTTAATAAAAACAAAACAAACTGAATAAAAATACTTCCCTTGATACTTTAAAAGATTTGGTTTTAAGTGTTCTCTAGAATGGGAGATTCAGATACCAAGTATACCCACCTTACTTGCTTCTTTGGAAGAGTCTAATCTGGCCATATGTAATAAAAGTGACTTTTCTATATATTTAGAAATAGCTTAACCTTATATAGTGAGTATGTTTTTATAATTATAATTTTTACATGTCTCAATCTTTGACTTTGTGTTTTTAAGAACATTATTCTGTTTACTAGTTCTAGAATGATCAAAACTTATGGTGGTAGATATAAAAACAGTATTCAGCTCTGTTTAGGGGAAGGAGTACTATAAGAACTCATTCAAAATAGCCTTGAGGAAACTATCTGGAGTAATGGAAAGTTTTTACATCTTGGTCAAGGTATTACTTATGTGGTGCATGTTCTTGCTAAACTTTTCAAAATTCACTGAAGTACACACTTCAGATGTGTGCATTTCACCTATGTAAATTATTCCTGAATTAAAAAAAAAAACAACGAAACCCTCATCTGGTATTTACTTGGCTTGGGTTCTAAATCCCTCATATAGCAACAATATTGTGTTGTTAATGAAGGTACTTGATCCAATTGCTTACCTATTTGTATTTCTTTCTATTAGAAGAAATAGTATAAATTAGTTGTGCTGCTTAACCAATACCTCACCACTTAGTGGTTTAAAAACAATATTTATCATTTCATATAATTTCTCTAGGTCAAGAATTCAGAAATGAATTAGCTAGATGCTTTTAACTCAGGATCTTATGAGGTTGCAGTCAACTGGGGCTGTCATCATATGAAAGCTTCACAGGCTGGATGAACTCACTCATTTGGTGTCAGTTGTTGACAATAAGCTTTAATTCTTCCCCATCTTGAGGGCCTTTTGACACTGGTCTCTTGTCTATCCTCACAACGTGGGGTTGGCTTCTCTCAGAGTGAACAAGGCATTGAAGCTTCAATGTCTTTTATGACCTACCCTCAGGAACCACACACCATCATTTCTGCAATTGTCTTAATGGATACAGAAGTCAGCCATTAATTCTATTCACTGTGGAGGGGTCCACATAGGAATGTGAATCTCAGAAGTCAGGGATCGTTGGGGAATCACCTCAGAGGCTGGCTATCACAGAAGTCTTAGTGATCATACAGGTACTTAAAAAGGAAAAAAAAAAACAGAAAAACAGGAGTGAAATACTAACCAACATTAACACTAACTGAAAAATAACCAAAGTTCTTAAAATTATTCAGTATTGATTTAGGCTACTTGAGACAGAAGAAAGGAAGATGTTTACACTGTGAAGAGAAGGTAGAGTATTAAGGGAATATCCAGAAGTACTAAAGGTGGAATACGGTCTTCATGGACATGGCTATACTAAGATCAGAATCGATCCAATTCTGAAAATTGATGTTACCCATGGGCTTGTGCTCCCAGCCATGCTGAAGGACCCTATAAGCTACAACTAGAGTAATTCGCTGGTCAACAGGGTGGTAGTAACTATAGAATGTTCCTTCTGATCTTGAAATTTCCCTCTCTGCCCATACTTGTCCTTCCTTTGCTTACTAAAAAAACTGAGGCATAAGAGAGAAGCTGGTGACTCAGAAGACAAATTTCCATTTTCATCATTTTACCTCAACTCCTTTTTTTTTTTTTTTTACTTTTAATTGTTCTATGTAAGGATACAATTGATACTGCTTTGCCAATAAGATTAAATCCATTAGCTTGTGGAAAGTTTTACTTTTCTGTGTTCATCATCCTTTATCCTTGTTTTAGATATAAATCTGATAGCACTGAACACTAGTAGTGTCAATAGTATGAAGGTGTAAAGAGGCCACCTTTCTTCAGTATGTCTTCATGAAGATAAAATCTTACAGATGGAAGCATATTCTTTGAGTAGATAGATAAACATGAACAGGATTAAATGCAAATTTCATATTGTCTTTCATGCCATTTACATTTCTAATAGTCTTTTTCATTTATATAAAATAGGACATATTACTGTTTTTTTGGGTCTTCGTAATTTCTTCAAGTAAGATACATTTAAACATTTTTGTAAATAAAGTACTATTTTCTAATCCTTCTGGTAACAGACTAAAATTCAGTATTTTCCTCATTCATTTTGGAATATAACATTCAGCCCTTACTGCCTTTGAGTGACATGATTCTGTCAGGTTCAGTTCCAAGTTGTTATCTGATCCATCCATCTAAATTAGCTTTGTCGAAAACTATTTGACTTTCCACATATTTGGATTACATTAGTCTCCAGTAACAGAGCAGATTTCATGTGCAGAGTTGCTGTGCTGTAATTTTAATTAATTCTATAACCTGTTTATGGAAAGTGAGAAGATGTTCTTATGGCTTATAAATCATATACATTTCCCCTACTGCCAAAAGTAAGCACCCCGCACCTGTAAGAGAGGCTGATGCAAAGTAAACAGGAAATCTATTTAGATGGGCTTGCAGTTTGAGACCCATGATTTTTACTTGTCCATCTGTCTCTAACTGTTGTAAAACTGTAAGCTGCCAGTTGTCTGGTAGTTATTTGCAGCTCATTGTCTAAACTTAAACATCATCCAAGGCATATGTCTTACTGGATTTATATTTTGAAGAAAATTTAACTCTTGTAAAATTGGTGAGACGGGGAGTGGGGAAATGAAAACTAGAAACTTATAGAAGCATCTAGTGTCAATTTACTCACTTTTTTTCATAACACATTTAATATCATTGAACTAAGCAATATTGTACTAAAACCTCATAGTAGTAATTCGTATTACAAATGTAAGACTATCTTGAGGTTTCAGATCGCTCTAGAAAACCCAGCATCTTTTTTTTTTTAACATTTTAATAGCCCTAAAACTCTTTTGAGAATTCATGTTATCCAAACAGAAAGTAATGATTTTGTGCTATGACCTGGAGGTATTTATCAAGTCAATCTCTTATAAAATAATGTTATTTGTACAGATAGTTTGCTGATCTGGTTTGAAAGAGAAAAGTCACCATTTTCTTTATAGTTTATTCAAGCTTGAATATGAGGAATTAGTTTTTGGAGAATGCAGCTCTCTTTTCAGTGGCTTTTATATGTTACTTGTGCCAGAGTTTGATCTTGCCAATATTTCTCTCCACTTTCAGTTAAATGATCAAAATTATTTGTTGGAAACATAGAAGCATGGAATTCAGTTAAACTCCTATAACCAGTAGGTTTCAAGAAACAAAGTACAGCATTTGGAAGATTTGTTTGAAGTCATCTCATATTTGGTGCCTGTGAATCTATTTAATTGCTACCCTAAAGCCATATTCAAGATACTGAAAGTGGGGAAATTTAAATCTCAACTCCTTTCTGAAATATTTTCCGAGAATGTTAAAAAGAGAGACATACCTTCATCACTTCTATTAAAGCAAACATGAGGAAATGGTTTGCCTTTTAAGTCTAGGTGCTCTTTGGAAAGTATTTCCCTTTTGTGTTAGTGTTATTCAGAGCATGTACTTTTGCCTAATCTGTAACAGTGTCAGCAAGTGTAGTTCATAGACAGATATTCAGCAGAGTTTTGGCACTTGGAGTAAAGTTTCTGCCTTGTCCTTAAATTTGCAAGTGAAGGCAGGGTAAGTAGTGCAGGCATGTTTCTTTAATAAAATGTTTGTCATATGTTTTTAGGGTTATGGTTTTGAAGATTTACCAGAGAACCATCAGCATAGCATAGGTTATACATGGTTATACATGGAGACTTTGATGGGAAGCAGGCTATGTCTGCAGCTGTTCACTAGCTTGATGGGAAACATGATCTGACTTACTCGGATGAGTAAGTTTTACTTGCTCCTATTAAAAGATTGCCTACTCACTGAATTAGATACTCCAAAGAATTTTGGACACATTCTAGAGTGCAGTCTATAGATGGATAATGAGCCACAGGTCTCACAGTCATCAGAAAGGGATAGTAGATATTCTTATTTTAGAAAATAACCTGATAGTGGAAGTTCAGGTTCTCGTACATTTTTTTTTCTTTAAAGGGCCTTAGTTTCAAAATTCATTTGAAATTATTTTAGTGTGGTCAAGTAACTTAGAGATTTATACAACTGATGAATATTTTTCTTCCTATCTTACTTGTTTTGTTTAAGGATGGAAAATAATACTACAGATGCTCTTACTCAGGCTTGGAATCTTGCAGCTA